ACCAAAGCGAAGACACCGCGCAGCCAACACTTATTTGCCATATCGGAATAGAGGAAGGCATTCGTAAAGAATTTATCGCGTACCAATGGATCCGAATTAAACGACCTAAACATGTTCGCCTTAAGACCTTTTGGCGGCTCATTTGTCATCTTCACCGAATTCTGCAGCACCGAAACGGGAAATACGTTGCTGGGATACGAAGTGCACCATAACCTATAGTCCGGATGTGCTGACTCTGCCAACGTCGTATCATTGCAAATGCGCTCTAATTCGCCCATCCAACTGACAGCGACGTGACAATTTTGCAAAACAACCCAATGGCCGTAACGATTTGCTTCCAAAATCATTTTCTCGGCGCGTGGACCTTGACCTTGACCCAATGAAATTGTTTTTGTTCTGAAAAAAAAAAAAATGCAGGTAGGGAGAAAAGTAGAGCTTTCTATTGGTATCTATGTATGTATGTGGGTGTAAGTGCGGGGGAATGGAATATTTTGTTTTAATTTCATTAGCAAGTTTTAGGGCTGTGATTTAATATGCAAACAATTGTGAGTGACTGGGAGGTATTCAATTGGCTTGTATATTTTTTTTTAATGGTATGCAATTTTTTTTCTGTTGTCTGTGAAAAATTTGCGTACGGCTGTTGCATTTTAAATTTCCTCCACATTTGATATCTACCAGCGAGCAATTAACGTATAATTAGGTTAGAATTTATTTTCTTCTAAATACTACAAAGATACTAGTATATCACTGAAAAAGCTCTGATAAGTATTTATGTTTGTCTGACAACTAAATAGATAAAGTTCCTGAAATTTAATGCAACATTTAACTCGATAAATTATGTATGTATGTGTCTTTCTAGTACTTATAGCCGCTAGACCTCAGCAATCACAAAAGAAATGCTGACCGCTTGCCTCGCTACCCTTCAGTTGACAGCTGCAGTAAGCTCTATTATATGGGAGCTCCATTCTTTCTGCGTGTTAGCCTATGGGCCAGTGTCCCGTGATAATTGCTACAATTCTAAATACCTCTGCCCTTGATCTATTGAGCGGGTATAGTATCTTCGTCCAAATAATGCTCGGAAGTTTAGCAAGGTTTTGGGAGTAACTTCCACAAAATCTGAACTGGTCTCACTTACTAGGTAATCCCGTTGTTCATTGAACAGGTCTCAACAGGTTAAGTATCTACACTTTATTCCAGATAGGAACCGATGAATCGGTCCGCAAAGCTACAACGCCTGACCACCAGGACAATCAGAGAAAATTGGGGATTGGAGGCAAAGATTGCAGCAAGGACTTACACCTATCAACTCATTTCGATGAAGTAGTAGTTTCGTGAAATTTTTTACGAAAAAGTAGGACTTTACTCTCTCGACGTAAGAAACCTACGCTCTATACGTCACTCATCTTGCCTGTGCTGGCACATATAACGCAGAAGCATGGACAATGACAACATCTGATGAAACAAGGTGATACAAAGTATGCTGAATTATTTTTTTTTATGGAAGAAAATGCGTGATACCGTCAACCAAAAAGCCATTTGAAACGTGTATTTTTTTACTCAAAATGAATGGGCTACAAAACTGCGTACCCAAAATTTTTCTAGAAGTATTATTAACTTACATATATACTGCCGGGCATTTGAATAGGGACAGCCTTTGTTGATTTTTTTTTGTCTAATTTGTATAAAGTTTTTCCATAACTCATATTAAATATATATATGCTTTATTTTATAAAATAATAATAAAATAAATTAACAAAATAAAAACTTTCAATACTAAGGATCAAAAAGTGTCCTTAATCAAGTGCATGTGAGTGTAACTTATGTATATCGAATTTGTAGATTTCTCTTCAATAACAACTCCTCTTAATTATTGTCTACTTTCACAAATACGAAACAAAAATTCAATAAACGTCCTTCCACTTATAACGGTACGCATTATAAAGTTACATTGATTATACATTTTGCTATTGACAATCATGGCAAGCAATTAAAAATTGAGTGCATTATTCTGCAGCTACTTCATCACTGTACACCAAACTGACAACTCGCTGCAAACTGTGAAAGGACAAAAAAAAAATTAAAAAAGTTTGATGTCTACACGTAGACGAATGTCGATTTAATTACAACTCCATAAACTTTTGTCCTTTTTTGCACTGATAAAAGATAAAAAAGGACACATACTTAGTCTACGTGCAACTGCTTGACACAAATGATGAAGCAGTAAAGAGAAATTCGATAAAAATTTACATCAATAATACGTCAAAGTATCCCTACTTGCTGAAGCGCTTGCTTGCTTGATAATGCTCGTACGAGTAGTGTGTACTACGTACTATGTAAAATAATAACTAGAGCTGACAACTTATTGGACACTGTATGGACAGTAGCTACGGTCTCCAGTTGCTGGTACTAAGTTGTTCATAATAATTTGTACATCGACACAGGACACACAGTATGTATGTATGTATGTATGTTTAAAATTACTTGGCACTCACAATTGTATGTCAGTTCTATTGTATGTATGTATGCATGTATGTGTGCATGTCTATATATATATATACATACATATGTGTGTGCTAATGTGTCTGTCCGGTTGACTATCGAACGAGTTCTTTAATTAACTTACTTGTCATACATGTTACGCTGTTTGGCGTACATGAATAGATTGGCCATTGGATCCGAGCCAGGCGATAGCAGAAAGACCAATGGGATTCTTGGCGAACTGTCAGCAAATGAGGCATTCAAATCGAAGAGTGGTGGCTCCACAAATGATTGGTCCATGTTGCGCGTAATGAATGTCTGTAAAATGCATGTGCAGATTAGATTGTAGAAGAAATGCTGAGAGTTGTGAACAAGTTTTTGGTGAAATAATAAAAACTGAAATTTTAAAAAAGATGGATATGTATGGATATGTATTGCTACATAGCATCGAAGCATACAAGTTGGCATAACTTTGAGATTATTTACATACATATATGTATGTATTTATATAGTCGTTGCATATTGTTTGCCACAACCCCCCATGCACCCCCACTCCTTCTAAAATTTGCAACCAGTATTGCAACAGCATACAATGCAGAAAAGCTTTGACTGTCATTTGGCTAATAAAAATGAAAACTTGTTGGCTGTGGTTAGCTTGCCAAGTCTGATTTTGGTTGCTAACTACATCCGTCATTATGCAATTCCTTGCAGACCAACAAATATGTTGGCATTCACAAGTAAACTTATACATTCAAACATACATACGTATGTACATCTGCGTTCAACCAATTAAAAACGAAATTCAAAATGATATTAATACAAGTTTCAAAGCTTGCAAAAATTGCGAAAAGAATTTATCAAACTTCAAAAATTGTCATCAAAATTTCCAAATTTTTATTCAGAATATTTAGAAAGTTTTCAGGTATGCAGTTATGTAGCCCATTCAATTATAGGCTAAGAAAGTGCAAGTCTCAAGTCCTTAAAAATTACCGTTGATTTTTTAGAATTTTTTTTGTGGAGGGTGTTGCGGAAGAAAATGCGCAACATACTCCACAAAAAAAAAATTCTAAAAAAAAAACAATGGTAATTTTTAATGACTTCAGACTTGCACTTGCATTTTCTAAATACGTTGATTAAAAATATGGAAAATTTTAATGACAATTTTTTGAAGTTAGATTAATTTTTTTTCGCAATTTTTGCATGCTTTGAAACTTTTATTATTGTGGTGCTGTTACAGATTGAACTATATTTTAACCGAAAATTATTAAAAAAAAAAAAATACATAATTGGCAAACAATATCATTTTGAATTTCGTCTCTAATTAGTTGAACGCAGGTGTACATACATATGTATATATATACAGATGTATGCACACATGTACTTGGCTAAATGGGCACTAGTAGCTCCCTCCATATTCACTCGTTCACTGTTACTTTGCCCAATGGTTGCTGGCCATTTTGGCCCAAATGTATTGACGTCAAGCTAGCAGTCAAATAGCGCGTTTGTCATTTGACATTTCACAATTTGGCAGTTGACAGTTGGCATTAGAGTTATGTCGGTCAAGCAGTGCTTGACAAGCACGAAAGTTGGTTAAATTTGGATATACAAAGTGGTATACATATACATATGTATGTATGTATGTAGATATGTTGTAGCTTGCTTGCAAAACGAAAAGAAGTTTTCAGTGGAAACGCTTGAATTTTTGGCAAAATGTAGAGACAATGTTTGCGCAGCTACAATTATCAAGATCGAAGGTTATAGTAATTAATGTTTGGCAAACCTCATTGCCAGACTGTGAAAGCAATGAAAATGAAAACTACATATGCAAATATGTATGTACAGTAACATTTTGAATGCACATTAGGGTGGATTGAAGAAATACGAATTTTGGAATTCGAGTTCGGAATTTACATAGAAATATATCAAAAAACCACATTTCTAGTTTTTCTCTTTGATATCAGGATTTTTCTCAAAAGGACTTTAAAATTTAACACATATTGATTAATTCAAAAAATTATTTAAAAAGCTTAGTGCAATGTAAAATAACAACAAGGGCATCAACGAAAAGAGACAATTCTGTAGAATTAAAAAGTTTAATTATTTTTAATATTTTTATTCAGCTTTGTACCACGATTGTTTATTAGGAAAACCTGAAAATTGCCTGAAACTATACAAAAAAGCAAAATAAGCAAATGGATGTATAGAATTGACAACAACAACCACGCTGTCGAGTTTAAATAGCGGCAAATCAGCTGCACTTGATAGTAGTTGGTTGAATAAGGAAAATGAATTATCAACAAGAGTTTGCGGGATGTACATAGCTCAGTGGTTAACGCTTCTGACTTTGAACATCGAATTCGCAGGTTCGATCCCTGCTGAAGTCTAGAAAAAGAAGTCTGATGAATAGATGTGGTGATCTCCGAAATAGTGCTATAACTTCTACCGCTTAGACTTTGTTGCTTTTTCAATTTTTCCTAATAAACAATCGTGGTACAAAGCTCAATAAAAATATTAAAAATAATAAAATGTTAATAAATAAGCCACAATAACATTGACAAAAAAAAAAGGTTAAATTTTTGGTGCATAAGAACAATGACGGGTACTGAAATAGTTCTTTGAAAATTTTATTCTTCATTATCCTCTTAAATATGCATTTTTCAAAAATCACATCATCCAATTTCGCCATCCTAACCTTATCAGATAATAAAATTAAATAAAAAGGGCATTTTGAATAAATATTCGCTCTTTTAACCAAAAAAACCAGGTACCAAAAATAACTGTTATCTCGAGTTTAATGATTGAAAACGTTGGCCTAATTCTGAAATTTAACGAAAACGTTGTTTCGTAACAGCTATTACATGAAAAATATTTTTTATCTCGCCGATAAGAGTTATTACTCGAGGTTTACTTTTTACGTTGTTCGATAACACTAATTGTCCAACGTTTATTTTTGTTTGAGAAGAGGATAAAGATGATGAAAATAAAAGAAGAGTGAAATAACTGTTATAAGACAAGGTAAAAATAAATGTTGAGTAATAACTGTTATCAAGCAACGTAAAAAATAAATGTTGGCAAATAACTGTTATCAAGCAACGTAAAAATAAACATTGAGAAATAAATCTTATTGCCGACGGAAAACATATTTCTCCTGCATAACAGTTATTAGGCAACGTACAAACTAAACGTTGGTTTATAACTCTTATTGGCGTAATAAAAAATATTTCTCATCTAATATCTGTTATGGAACAACGTTTTTTAGATAAAACGTATAACTGTTATGTTCCTGCACAAAACCAATTTGTTTTTTAATTCTGAAGAGTTTTCTCTTTTATTTGGTACCTACATTACACTGAATTAAAACTTCAAAGTCCCCATAAAAAAATCCTGACGTTAGGGAGAAAAATCAATACTGCAGTTTCACTATAATTGGCTCTTAGTTTCTTGAGTATATTGTTCGTTTATGTAGTATGTTTTTGGTTTTTATGGTTTCTCCCAAAATTATTAAATGCAGCTCTCAGAGCCCTGCCTGCACTTAATTTTGTAGTATTTAAGAGTAGATTCATGTTCTTTTCAAAGAGACATAACCCCTTCGGTAGCAGTTTTAAGCGAAGCAGTAGCGATTGAAGCGTTTTGATATAAATCTAATACATATTAAACTCCTCTCTCAGCAGTTTCAAAAAAAGGAGTTTTGACAAGTATTGCTTGCTTAAAATCCTTATTAGTCGGACAATGAAACTGTGGTAAACTACGAGAAGCACCTAGTAGTAGGCGATCAGAAATACTCCTTGTGTAGGCCATTGAGCCTAATAAATAAAAAGAAAGAACGATAACAGGCTGATAAACAACTAAAGGTACGCACAGCGAAAGTCAGTAATTAGACGATGTGGGGATAGTAAATATCTATCGACCCGGCTGCAATTTTTCGTGCTCTAACTATAAACGGTTATAAAAGTTTTCCACACCCCGCTGAACCCGAATTCTAAAATTGTTTTTTTTTTTGCGATTCATCCTAATGGAAATACAAATAGTAATATCAGAAAAGATATGTGAGTGCATTTACAAATGTTTGCCGTGGAGCTTGGTAATAAATACGTATACCTTTCACGGACAGACCAACCTACCAACTGATGTGATGCTACTAGTATTTCTACTGGGAGGTGACATTTCGTAGGACATCGCCATATTACAAATATCTGTTGCTAGCATGCGAGCAGGGAAAATGATAGAAAACGAACTGTTTCAGCAGAAAAGCTAACTGGTAGTATTCTAGTTCAAAACTATTAATAATAACAACACCGCTAACGATATGAATGACGATTTTTTTCCACCATTTAATAACTTCAGAAAGAATATGAATTATTGGAACTTCTGCCTCTATTTTCTTATTCCTTGATATTGTTTGATATGCTTAGTTGTTATTTTAATAGTACACACTTTTTTTTTAATCTCCCACTTGTTCTCGTTTGCTTTGCTTACAATGGTGATTTTCACTACAAAAATCTTATATGTATGTATGTATGTATATATGTATGGAAGTACTTACCCTCACCGCGGGCGCAACTTTGTCTGGTCGTAGACATTTCAATACAATTAAGTATAGCATTTCTTCTATGTTATCGTAAGGCTTGGGTAGCGGTTGCTCCTCAGGTGATGATAAATCATAATATTTCTTCCAAAGATGAATGTCCTTTGTAAATTGTTTGTAGAAGTCTTTGAGGCTGCATTGCAATTTTTCATTATAAAATGTAGGGTAAAGAGAAAATAAGGACATATGTACGTACGTAAACATATATTTTATTTATTATTACATGACAGTTTATAGTTGCGTTTAAACGGTGTTCACATGTGGCGATTTTCCAGGCAATTTTACGGGTGGTTAGTTCAATCAAAAGTTGGCTACAAAATATGTT